CATACATACTATTGTAATATTAAGAAAACTCATCATGACTCACAAACACCCTCTTTGATAGATAAAAAGTATTGATGGATGTGTGCCTTTTAAACTCTTTATCTTTAAGTAATTGGATAAAATGTTATATATCCTTTTTTATTTTCAAATTATTTTCCTTTGATTTGTTGTTTCATATGTTATAACGTATAAATACCTTCTTCTAGAGCACTTCAATTATAAAATTGAAGTTATTGTGTCATTATCTAAACTCAAAATGTAGTAGATTGAAATGTCATCGTGCATGTATCAATGATTTTTTTGAATAAAAATAGCCGCAAAGCTCTACACTATAAAAAAAATTCACCCCGCTACGCTACGAAAAAAATTCGCCCCGCAACACTAGCAAAAAAAAATTCACTCTCTACATTAATGAAAATTTTCGCCCCCCTTGACTCAAAATCCTAGATCCGTCCCTATGTGCAAACTAGCTAGAAATGCAAATTAAAACAGATGGATAGTTTCACAACGTTTATAAAAATATAAGGGAACCATCACTTCCAGTCTAGCTGGTTGTGAGGTTACCCCTGCATAGGAGATAGAGGTCTCGTGTTCGAGTCTCACTAGCATCATTGGACTATGCTCTCCCAAAAAAAAACCTTCAAGGGGTAGGGCCAAGCGGTGTATACTAACCCGTACGGCCAAGCCAAAGTTGAGTTTCTGGGGTAAGGGGCCGTGAAAGCGGTGGAGCTAGTCACTATAAAAAGTTTACCCATACCTTAGTTTTACTAGTGGGCGTAGCTCAACTGGTAGTCAGGGAGTGACACAAGAGTTAGGTCTCGGGTTCGAATCCCGGCAACTGTGATAAGGGGTTACTATGCTGAAAAATGCATAGGGCATCTGCAAGTATCGGGGACAGAGTCTCACTCTCTATCTGTCAAATTGTAATTATAGTTCGATTTACATCCTCTCATCGTGTCGTCCGGTCGGTGTTGGGGGACCCTGAGGGATGGGGTGTCATCCTTTCATTATTATTATAAAAATATAAGGGGTTGGACCGACCACAGCTTTAACTTTAGTAGTTGAGTTCTTTTCACACTGCCTGCATGCTAGAAATGCTTGCGTACGCAATGACATATACCACCTCTGCGGACCAAATTAACATACTTCGTATTAATTAATCCACATGCTAGGAGAAAGCATAATGATGATAAATTGATAACAACCACCATAATAATAATAATAATAATAATAATAATAATAATAATAATAATAATAATAATAAGGAATTTATCATTAAATATTACTACCTACTATATCAAACCCGTTTTAAGATTCCCATTAAAAACTGACACGTTTTTAGGTAATAATAACTAAATAAGGTAATTTGTCAAGTACCTTGTGTTTTAATGACATTAGAGCATCTCCAATAGTCCAGTATTACAATGTGTACGATACATATGTGACATGACTGCATAATAGAGACTATGTTGTAAAAACCGGACCGGAGAGTGACCCGGCTACATGACTGGGTCACGGGTCAACCCGGACCCAGTGGGTCAACCCGGTCAACGCCGGAAAACCGGTCAATGATTATATGTCTATATAATAATATTAAACATATAATTATATATAAAATTATAATAAAAATTAGTTATTATTCAATAATCAACTAACAATACTACTTATTAAGCATTTAATACACTCTTATAATATTTCAATGCATATTTTGATCTTATAAAAATATATAATGATTTTTTTATTTTTATTGTATATCTATATTATAATTCGGCATGATGTTGATTATTAAATAAATATATAAATATATTACGTAGTTTTTCTTTTTAAGGTATTGAAATTGCAATTTTATTGGTATAAAAATGCATTAAAAATAAAAAAGAAATTACTTTTTTTTTTAGTAAAAACACCCAAAAACTGGGGTTTACCGGGTTTTTCGGGTTTCTTGGGTCCGGGTCTTGACCGGGTTTTCCCGGGTCAGCCGAGTTTTTCCGGTTTTTGACCATTTCCGGGTTTTGAAAAAAACCGAACCGGTTTTTTGTCCGGGTCACCGGGTTCTGGGTCAACCCGGCCGGGTCGGGTCAGTTTTTTAAACAGAGATAGAGACATAAAAATAAATCATTGACATTTCGCTCTCCTTTTTTCCACGGTTTTATATAATTTTGGTAATAAAGTCAACAACAATGTTTACATATCGACATTCTTCGTGACATTGTGGAGAAAAACTTACCAAAAACATATAAGATAGTTCAAATAAGGAGAGAAATATTTTACTCCCTCCGTCCCAAAATGGTTGGCCAATGTTGATTTGCACGTGGATTAATAAAGTAAAAACTGTGTGGTTGAAATTTGAGCAGAGGAGAGAGAATTAACTTTAGCCACATATTGCTTACTTTAAATGGAAATGATCAACCTTTTTGGGAATTGGGACGATCAAAAAAGGAATTTTGGCCAACTATTTTGGGACGGAGAGAGTACTCACTAATATTTGTGTGTCTATCACTCTCATGTCACATTTGCACCGTGCACATTGTAACATTGGAGATGCTCTTACCGTGACACTTCCAAGTAGGAGATAACAAGTTCAAAATTCATCTCACTCAACTACTCATGGATGTTGACATTTAACATTAAAGAAATGCTATACTCCGTAATATAATAGATAAGAAAGTCCGGTGAAAAAAAGGGGCATATAACATTGTTGGATAATCGATACCCATATTGTATGAAAAGGAGATATTGAACAAGAGTGGAGAAGAAATGATGAAGAAGAAAGAAATGTGTATGGAATGAATATTTGTTATATGAGTTGTCAAGCCTCCTATAAGGAGTATATATAGGGAAAATCCGGGTGTGGGCCTCTAATACGGGCCTGACAGATCCAGTTACATAAATGGACTGATAGTATAAAAAGCTAATCTAGAACATCTGAATAATAATATTAATGTACAATAATATTAATGATATCCGCTAAACGTGTGTAAGCCGCTGTCCAGGCCCAGTAGTCAGCATACCGGGGGTCAGAGTACATATAATCCATCAAACATAATGTGGTAAATGATTATAATTGGATGTCATCGTTGTATTAATTTTAATGCTCCGCATATGATAGTAAAAATTGTAATTCAAGAGAATTAATTATTTACTGAAATAGAAACAGGAACCTTTAAACTGAAGAAATCTAAAAAAAAAAATCTTACAACTTTTTCCGATGCCTTTTCTAGCGAAAGCATCATTTTCGGCACAAACCACCTACAATGGTTGCCGGAGCCCGAAGGCAACAATGGGAGAGGTGTGGGCATGGGCAAATGGGTAGGAGTTAGAAAGAGAGAAAAAATAAATTAATAAAAAAAGGTTATCATATTTTTAGAAAAAATAAAACTAATCACATTTGTGTCCATCAAAAGTGTAAATGTAATATTTATGTCATTTTTCTATTAATAATAAGAATAATACCAATAAAATACTCGTAATAAAAATATAAATTATAATAACAATAGTAATAATAATTACTACTCCCTCCGTCCTTGAATTTACTTCCGTAGTATAAATGACACACAGATTAAGAAAGTGAGAATTGTGTGGAGGAGAGTTATGCAGAGGAGAGAGAAATGTGTAAGAATTACTGTGAGTCACAAATTCTTTACCAAAAATGGAAAGTGAAGTTCTTTTTAGGACGGACGAAAAGGGAAAGTTGGAATTATTTTTAAGGACGGAGGTAGTATTAGGCAAATAATAATATTATTAAAAATAATAATAATAAAAATAGTAATAATAATAATAATAATAGTAATACGGTCATACGGAGTAGTAACAATACCGCATAGGGACTAATGATTATGATAATGATGCATATTCTACAAGTCTACGTTTGCCAGGAGCTCACAGTTACCAATTACCATGCTCCCAGGTCATGTATGACGTTATGTAGTGGTTTGGAAATATTTATATTTTTTCAATTCGAATTCTTACGGATCAGAAAAAAACAACCAAATTGGAATAGAATCTTCTGTCGTTCATCTTTCATTCAGATTATTCATAAAATAAATAAAAAATTAAAAAGAAATTGGAAAGCAATTTTTTTTCATTCAGATTATTCATTACTCAATTATGTTGCATATAAACTATGAACTGTATAATAATTTATTATTATACAACTACATTGTGCATTAATCAATTTAATCTAACTAAATCGGTTATTTACTCCCACCATATTGACCAAAAATAGATTTCACTTTTAGGTTAATTAATAATCATCTGGAATGCTAGTTTTGTTTTGTCACATGGTGGAGTTTGACCGCTTATTACATGTGAGTTTATGTTTTCTGTAGCATTACCCATTTATGAAGCAAACATATGTAGGACAAGTTCAATACTGAAATTTAATGGCCTGATTTAAACTATGTAATTTATTCTGATTTGATCGGTTTAAGTTGGATTGAATTGTCTAATGAATTTGGAGGCCCCAGTTCCAAATGACAAATTGAGGCCTCTAAAACAAAAACAAAATACAAATTTTAACAATGGAATACAAATAGATTAGATAATTCAATGAAACATAAGTTTTGTGATGTTTAAAATATAAAAGTTTTTTATAATACATGACATCTAGAAAAATCAATTTATAATCAATTAATACATGAATCTAAAAGTTATAACTAACTTTTTGGAGGCTCCCTAAAAGAGTGGGCCCTAGTGCAAAGCACCTATTGCACTTCCTAAAAGACGGCCCTGATTGAATCATTGATAAAATATTCCTCAATAAATCTGTTTATTACTACGTATTTAAGCAAACATAATCATATGTATTTTTAAATGGAGTAGTATCTCCGGGGGTTCTCCGGCCCCACACAGAGATATAATTTCAACTTAAATTTTATAGGGGTAGAATAATTTGACCTTTACTATAATTACTTGACAAACTTTACGTGTAGGGCCCACCTGCCCACTAAACTTTAAGTTTTTCCTTGGTATAAAAAGAGATGGACCAGCTTCTCATCGTCATCAATAACATCATTTACCAAATACTTTACTTAAACATCCTTCCATGGCAGCACCTCTCTCATTCTCCACAATCGCATTTCTTGCCGATTTGTTCACCTGAATCTCAATTCTAAAATAAGCTGAGTGGGGGCTGTATGGTAATAGAGGGTCTGATAAAAAAACATTTGGTGTAAAGTCAAAGCTCTGCACCAGTGGAACCAAGGTGAACACAGATTGTTCATTTACCATATATGGCTCTCCAAGCCACAGAGAAATATTTATCAGATTTGCTCACTGGCAACCCCCGCCCACCCCATAGATTCTCATGGTACAGCCATCCAAGTAACTCCATGTCAAGTCCATTTGACAGCCAGCGTGGTTTGGTACATCTGCCAAATGGAGGAGAGGTGGATACTGAGATGAAGCTATGTCCTTACAATGCAAAACGGAACCACAATGATTCTGCAGAAACCAACCAGAGGAACAGCAAACACCTAGCGGCAAGTCATTCAGAAGAATCCGAGCCCTTATCCGATATGTGCTACGATGCATTGCTCGGCCCCATAGGCAGAAACATCACCAAACTAGAAAACTCTGGATCCAAGGCGGGAGGTAGAAACCGGCGTGGGAGAAAGAAAGGAGAAACAAAAAAGGAATTTGTGGATATCTGTGGCTTACTCTCCCAATGTGCGCAGTCCATGGCGGTTAATGACATCAGAGCGGTTACCGAGGCTCTGAAGAATATAAGAATGCACGCTTCCCCTCACGGCAATGGAACAGAAAGGATGGCGTTCTATTTCGCCAATGCGCTCGAGGCACGCTCAAATGGAACAGCCACATCACTCTACGCATCAAAGCATCCCAACAATATCTCAGCTGCGGATATCTTCAAAGTTCATTGGATGTATATCAATGCAAGCCCCTTCAAGAGAGTATCAGCTATGATGGCAAACAAATGCATCACAAAGCTTGCAAGTGGAGGAGCAACCAGGCTGCACATCATAGATTTTGGAATTCAGTACGGGTTTCAATGGCCATGTCTCATCCAAGCTCTCTTGAAGAGGCCAGGTGGGCCTCCAACGCTTCGCATCACTGGGATAGACTTCCCCGAGCCCGGGTTCCGTCCCGATGAGCAGGTCAAGGCCACAGGCCTTCGTCTGGAAAAATACTGCAAATCATACAATGTCCCGTTCGAGTACAAAGGCATAGCAAGGAAATGGGAGAGTATATCACTCGAAGACCTCGAGATTGACAGGGACGGTGAGGTGCTGGTTGTCAATTGTTTGGATAGGCTAGGTAATGTGCCAGATGACACGCTGGTGCCAAACTGCCCAAGGGACAGTGTGCTCAATCTGATCAAGCTCATCAATCCAGATATGTTCATCCATGGGGTTCTGAATGGGGCCTTCAATGTTCCATTCTTTTACACGCGATTTCGGGAGGCACTCTTTCACTTCTCCTCACTGTTTGACATGTTGGAGGTAACTGTTCCAGGTGATGACAAGCAGAGGCTGCTGTTTGAGGAAATGGTGTTTGGAAGAGAAGTGTTAAATGTGATCGCTTGTGAAGGAACGGAGAGAGTGGAGAGGCCGGAGACGTACAAGCAATGGCAAGTTAGAAGCCTTAGGGCTGGACTCCAGCAGCTCCCGCTCGATCAAGAGATTGTCAAGTCTTTGCGGGAGAAAGTGATATCGGATTACGACAAGAACTTCTCCGTGGAATCAGACGGGAACTGGATGTTGCAAGGATGGAAAGGAAGGGTAGTTCAAGCTGTCTCCTGTTGGAAAACTAAAAACAACTAGTTGCATATAAGTTTTAATCCGGTTTAGCAATGTCCGTTTCTTCGTATAATTAATCTCCTTTATCATTCACTCAAGTTCAGTAATATGAACCTCCCTGCTTAATAGATTTATCGTGTTAATATGGTCATATAATCAAAGGTAGGGAGGGATTGCTAACACTTAGAACGCCCAAGCACCCAAGAAACTTGAGCTAGGATGTATGAAAATTGATAACTTGGCTTTTCATTCGCTCATATAATCATGATAGGGTTTCCATAATGCATATTAATCAAGCAATGAAATAAGGAATTCACAGAGATTTCTCCTAGATGAGATGAAGGAAAGCTAATCCTAATCAAGTCATCACTATAAACTTTAAAAAGGCGGAGTGAAGAAAACGAAGCAAGTTGAATCCTCTAGTACTTATCAAAGGAGCACAGAAACTCAATTAGCTCACGTTAACCCGTTTCAGAAACTCAGAAATGTATGGGAAACTCAGCAATTTCAAATTCTCATACCCTTTCCATTTACATGATTTGGAAAATACGGAAACCCATTTACCTAATGAAATTAGGGATTCAGGGATTTTGGCCAGTTGGGTCTTTCTTTTAACCTTCTCTTTTTAATGTCATTTAATCGGAGAATAGTACTACATGTGTCTTTTATGGGATTCTTGATGTTTCTTTATGGGATTTCTTCATAGCAACAGAGTAATGTGTTGTTAAAATGTATTGCAACTTATATTTGCTTATGTACTAATATGTGAGTAATGTCTAAATTTGACATGCAGATTATTATCATCTTTGGTTATATAGCTAAAAACAGTTATGTGTAGATAATACTACTCCATCTGTCATTAAATTACGTTCACAATACTGCTTTACGGTCTTCAAGAATGTGCCATGAAACTTTGGGAGCAAGTGATTGATCAAAGACTCCGAAGAAGTGTGAAAATTTCGGAGAATTAATTCGATTTTACGCCTGGACGCTCAACAACCGAGATCATTCACCTTCTCAGATAAGTTGTAGAGAAGTACAGAGACACTAAAAAGGATCTGCAATTCTGCATTTTGTGTTCATTGACTTAGAAAAAAACGCCGGCGACGCAAATGAACTTGGAAAATTTCTGGTGGTGTCTTCTTGACGCATGTTAAATAGACAGTGGTGACCAACATGAGCTCGTGAAATCGACAGTAGCAACCCATTTTTGTGTGTTTAGTTGGTAAAAAAAAATAAGAAGAGAAGGGAAAAAACTGGAAGAAGAATGTAGGGGAGAAGGGTGGGCAGTAAAAGAAACAAGAGGGAGAAAGGAAAAACAAAAAGAAAAGGAAAAAGATTAAAATAAGCCACCTGGATTGTCACGTAAGCAAGTGACCAGCTAACATAGAACTGAACTACTAGATTATAAATTTGACTGCTTTTTTAAAGTTCATGGTCTTTATTGGGTATGTCTTTAGTTCGAGGGTTTAATTGATTTTTTGATATACTACGAGGGTCTATTTGAACTAGTCCAAGTAAAAACATCCTTAGGTTCACAAATTCCGAATGGTAGCCTGATTAGCTCAATTCATCTTGGATAACGATAGGGGTTATGGATTCTATAATAGTAGATGAGAAGCTACCACAGTCCACAGTATGGAGTATAACATTATTCATGAACAGTTGGGATGTATTAATTTTTTCGTCCACTTTCCTTTTTTGTAAGGTTTGGCTATAAAAATACTCAATTACCCTTACTTTGTTTTATCTTATCTTTCATACTTTTATATCATCTCTCCTACTTTTTGAATTATTCATTACTGCTACTTTTCTACCATTTCATTACTCCTTTGTTATAGTACTCCCCGGAGGAAGTACTATAACAAATATGTTCCTATCAGATCAGTGATGATGGTTGGAAGAGGTTGAAGGAAAAGCAATAAACCTAAAAGAATTAAATGAAGTGAAGAAAAATCCCAAACAGGGACTATCAATACAACTCGGAAGTTTATTAAAGAAGCTGCCAAGCGAAAAAATTTCAAGAGCCACAAGAATTAGCCTTTACCTACAGTTTTTTACTTGATGATTTGGTGCCTAAGAACACTTAAATCCAGTTTTTTCACACTTGGGTAGTTGGGTTGCTTGACTGACACTTCTTGCAGCCAATTGAAGAAGGCCATTCATACCCATGCACATTGTATGTCCTTTCTTTGGAAAATGGGTATCAGAAACTGTCTTTTAGCTTTGTCTTGTGATCTCCATTTGCATCTGGGCATTACCTGTTCAGTTTTGATGAGTTCTCAGGTCCACCAAGACTTAACCCAATAATGGTCAGAAGAATGAGCTACTACTAGGCCAGATAAAAGCCAAAATGCACCTCAATATCTCAACAATAGCTCAAGCACAAACTTTGAAGTAATTAAATAATTGCCAAATTTATGTAAGGGCATGCTTGGTTGGAAATTTTAGGAGAATGATAATGGTAATGAAATGTGATAGATTTCTCATTCCCATTAACGATTAACCTCCACAAGCACACTCTTTCCCATTCTCATACTTTATGCATACCAAACCCACCCTAAAAGGCTAAAACCACACCAGAAAGCGGAGACTGAACTTAAATAATACCTAGTGAAAATATTTCAAGTCATTTAAACATTATATGTGCTCGCATAAATAAAAAATTAAGATGACATACAACCATTTCTTGCCCCACCATGACTCCATGAGGATCTACTTGCATAATAACAATACTGAAATTGGAACATCATTGAAGTTTCATGGAATCGCAAAAAAGAAAGGGAACTGAAATAATGGGAACCGTAAAGGAAAGAGCTGAGAACATGTATAACATGAAGTAATAAATTGATTATTTTACATGAGAAATTGAAAATTTTTATTTTTGGGAGCTGAAGTAAATATGAGAAATTCATTTATTAACATAAATATATTCCACAATTGATTTATAAAATTTGACACAAAAGGTGTGTTAATAGACAATGGGAAGTGATAGACAATTTATAAGTCCTCGCAAGTGCACGAGTCGCGGTAATATAGTGCACAAGTAAGGGTCGAATCCACAGGGAAAATGTAACTAAATAATTGGAAAACTATTAATAAAAATAAAAGTGAAATTAAACCAACTAAAAAAAATGAGTTTTGGGTTTGTTTGATTTAAAACTGAAAGGTAAGGCTTGAATTAAAATGGATGCAAGGAATTTAAAGGATTAAAAATAAATTGATTGGGCAACTAACGGGAATTTGATTGAGAACTTAGCAAGAGAAAAACATAGTCCAGGATTATGAATTTGTCACTAATCTGTAGTATTTGCGATTTTGTTAGTCAATTAAAATTGAGGGTTCGTTCTAGACAAAAATATGACTATTCCATATGGCGTCAAGAATAAGTCATGTACCTTAACTATTAATCAATAAAAAAATATTAATTAAATAATTAAAATCCATTAATCACACAAGAAATACGGAAACCCGATTTAAGAACCAAATAGATAACTGAACAAGACAACTAAACTATCTATTCTTTTATCCACCCGATTTAAGAGCTCGAACTAATAGGCATGGCATATACTCTATTAATCCACTCAAACAACTTAATTAATTATACTAAAGTTGGCCAGAAATTAACATAATCAATTAAGCGAATAAGAATAATGGATAAAACTCAATCAATTGGCTTAACTAGAATCACAATTCATACTAAATCATAGCAACTTCATCATACTCCAGGACTTAGAAATTTAGCTACTCATATTAAAACTGGCTGAGAGTGAAACAACAATAACTAAAGAGTTCATCTTGATCAACTTAATGATCAGCAAATGATAACCGTGAATACTCAATTTATTAAAGTAAGGCACATATGATAAAATGAAGTAAACTGGAATTTCAGAACAGAAAGAAGTTGTCAAACCAGAGTTGTTTTCTAGAGATAAATTTTCTGAACTAAATTGCTAACTTTCACAAGGAAGAAAGCATGGTGCTGTCCTTTGCTTCTAACAGACAAGTTCGGAGAATTATGCGTCCTCCTTAAAGCTGCTGCTGAGACTGAAATCAGGAGCTCACCTCTCTTCCAAACGCAAGCCCAATTCTCCAAAAATCGCCCCCCGTAAAACCCTTGCTGCTGCGGTTTTTATATCCAAGGAAAACAGCCGTTTCAAGCGCTTTCATCCCTGAAGTTTCGGTACCGTTCGAAAGTAGGAGTCGCAATTTGTCCCTGCGTTCCCCAACCTCTTTGAAGTTTGAACTCTTCTTTTTGTTTTTCTTTGATTTTAGAATGGGATAAGGCTCGGAATTGACACTGGTTACCAAGCTCATTAGTAAGACAGGTGAAGTAAACACGCACGCTGCTTAAAAAGCCGCTAACTAACCGAAATAGATGCTTAAAGTGTCGCTTATTAAGCATATCACCCCCCATGTATTAATTAAGCGGCACTTTAAGCTTTTTTACTTTCCGAATTTACCCCTTGCCCTTACCCTATTGTTAGCCCTGCCCCACCCACCTACTCAGCCCCACCTCGACCCTGACCCCACCTACCCTACCCCGACCCCACCCTATCCTACCCTGAACCCCACCCTACCCTACCTCGCCCCCACCCTACCTTACCCCCGACCCCACCCTACCCCTACCACATCCTACCCCTACCCTACATCGACCCCACCTACAACACCCTATCCTACCCCGACCCCACCCTTCCCTACGCCGCCCCCACCCTACCACTACCCCTACCCCACCCTACCCCGACCCACCTACCCCATCCCGACCCCACCCCGACCCCACCTACCCTACGCCGCCCCACCCTAACACTACCCTACCTACCCAACCTGCCCTTACCTCACCTACCCAACACCCTACCCCCTACCACATTGGTCCCACCCCGACCCTACCCCCTTACGCTTACCCCTAGGGCCCTTACCACCCTACCCCAACACTTACCCCTTACCACACCGGTAAGGGAATGGATTGTGGGTAGCTAGGGTGGGGTGGGGTAGGGTAGGGGTAAAGGTGTAGGGGGTTAGCGGGTGGGGTGATCTCGGGGTATGGGTAAGGTAGGGTAGGGTAGGGGTAGGAGTATGGTAGGATATGGGTGGGGGCGACCTAGGGGGTGGGGTAGGGTGGTAAGGGCCTACGGGTAGGCTTAAGGGGCCTAAGGGGTAGGGGTGGGGTCAGGGTAAGGTAGGGTAGGGTATGGGGAAGGGGGTCGGGATAAGGTAGGGTAAGGTGAGGTCGGGGTAGGGCCGAT